GAAATAAGCATAGGATAGATAGATAAGACAAATAGGTATACATTTTCAATTTTTTAAATTTTATCTTGACATAACCAATAAACATCAGAATTGGTCTAATGAACATGGAGATGATTTTAAAGTTAAAACTCAATCTTCCACAATCCAATCACTTATTATTTGTCACCCTATAGAGTATGGATAAATTAATGATTCTGAATATGAATAATGATAAAGCACCAGGGATTGACCCCCCCCCCCTGTAGAATAGTAGGGTTAGGGCTAGGGTTAGGGTTAGCTTTAAGGTTAGGCTTAGGGTTAGCTTTAGGGTTAGGGTTAGGTTAGGGTTTGCTTAATTGTTCAAAAATTTCATGAAGTAAGTTTACAGAGTAGTAAGACAAGTAATATTTTCTGTGATCAACAATGATTGAGTTGGGTTGATCAAAACTAGCTATGGCTCATATAGTACCCTGTTTTCCCAAAAACAAGACCTCCCTGGATAATAAGCCCAATCGGGCTTTTGAGCGAATGTGCTAAAATAAGTCCTCCCCCAAAAATAAGACCTCCCCAAAATATTGCATCACAGCAGCAGCCATGAGGTGACCACACTCGCCACCTCTGCACTTCAAAAATAATAAGACCTCCCCGAAAATAAGGCCAAGTGCTTATTTCAGGGATCAAAAGAAAATAAGACACTGTCTTATTTCCCGGGAAATACATATTTTGTTTGCAGTAGATTTAATTGATTTGAATAAAGGCAAAAAGACCAAGCCACACATTCTACTGTATTGTTTGATGTAGGAAAATCTTTTAATAAAATCACCAGACAGCATGTGTTGTTACTGGAGCTAAATTTGTATTTTGTAAATAATTTCTAAAGAGGGTCCAGATTTTGCCTCTGTCTTCCAAATGTACAGTAAAGATCAGTAGGCTGCCTCTACCCAAATGGAATGGAATTTTATGTAAGGAACCCAACTTGCAATATAATAAATTTTGTGCCTCCTATTTAGAATAAGGATCACATGGGACCATTGAACAGCAATTGGAAATATAGAAATGCTAAAATCGGGTAGATAGATTTTCAGAATAAGTTTAGATAGAGACTTGCAGCCACAGATGGTGTTTGTGCAATGACGAGAACAAAACGTTGTACCTTGGATGTACTTGAGAGCCAAAGAAATTCATTCCGCTCTTACAAGATTTAAAAAAAACACTGAAAAAGAAACGAACTGTGCTCTTAGCTGACTGTAGGAAATCATATTTTTGTTGGCATTAACTGCAGTATCACTTCAATAGGATTTTGGAGGTACGAGTCATGGGGTTTCTGTCATATTCTGAACTGAAATATGAACCAATTTTCCTAAGCACTGTCCCCGCTGCCCACACCTAGCAGAAATTTGAACTTGGATATTGGATATGCCATATTAGACTACCGCTTCGACATTTGAACTTAAGCTTTAAGTGCAATATGAAGTTGTGCTAAGAGGGACAGTAGGTAAAAAATTATAAATAGATGTTGGTAGGGAATCAGATTGGTTGTTCAAACTATGTGGAATATTTTCCAAATGTAATTTTGCAGGGACAGAGACCTGAGCTACAACATGCCATACTAACTTTGTATACCAAAGAATTGTTTATCAACAGGAATCTACCTCCCTTGTTCTTCTAACCCAGGGGAGATTCTCCCAGCCTATGATTGCAATCATGCTGAGAGCAGCGCACAGGATAGCCCCATGATGGGGAACCTATGGCATGCATGCCCAAAGCTGCATGCGGAGTGATGTCGCCTGGCATGCGTGGTGTCACCTGTTCCTCTTTGGGGTTTCTGGTGTGACGATCAGCTGGACTTTGTGTGTGCGGCAGTACCCTCTTTTTTTAAAATAGATTTTAATTGTTTTTTCTATCTATAACAACTTTCAATCATCACATTAACATTGCTGTGTCATCATACCTATATATATCGATCTTATATCGCTTCTATATTTATATACATTCATTTACAGTTCTATACATTTCTCTATTGCTTCTTGGCTAAATTAATTTTATTTCTGTTATACAACCATTTATACCAATTATCCCAAATTTCATAGTATTCACACTCTTCTTTGTCCTTTAATCTTAATGTTAATTTATCCATTTCTGCGCAATCTAGAATTTTCTGAATCACTAATTCATATGGGGCAATATTACTTTGTTTCTAACATTGGGCAAACGCTATTCTGCCTGTAGTCAACAAATGTATTAATATATATTTAATTTTCTTTCTATATTTCCCCTTGGTTATTCCCAGCAGAAAAAGTTCCGGTTTATATTCTATTTGTTCCTCTAATTTGTTGTATCCATTTCCATATTTTAATCCAATACTTTTGAGTTTCCGGGCAGGTCCACCACATATGATAGTAAGTCCCTTGTGGGTTTTTTTTTGCACTTCCATCAAGTCGGATTCATGTTCGGCTACATTTTGGCCAATCTCATTGGTGATAAATCCCAACAATAAAACATTTTATACATGTTTTCTTTATAGGCTACTGATCTTGTTAATTTATAATTTGTATTCCAAATTCTTTCCCAATCCTACCCTCTTCTATACTGGCTTACATTATAACACCAGAACCCTCTCCAGAACTTGGTCCTCTTACAGAGCCTGCAGTTTTCTCACAAGGCTCCCAAATGTTCTTTTTCTTTCCCTTTCCCATAACCTTCCCCATCACCCCAAATGAGAGAAGACTGTTGGCCATGTTTTTTTCTAATCAAACCAAGTTTATTTTGACAATGTGGACAAATTTTCTTCACTGAATTTCTACGATTCCTGCACATTAGTGTCCTTTGTCCCTGCAATAACAATTCATAAGAACTGGGAGCATGTGTATCTTCTCCAGCTGCCGTCCAGATGAATTTCAAATCCCCTGGTGGAAAGAAGCAGCAGGTTCTCTTCTTTCATGATAATTTCTGGGACTAGGAATCTGGGAATTAGAAAGAGCAATAGTGAATATCCTAGTGCAGATGGAACAAGTCCTCGCTTAAATTACTGAAAATTTCCAATTTGCCATAGCTGAATAAAGAAAAACAACAGAGCCTTGGACATATTTCTTGTTATCACCCCGCTAATCTCTTTTGGCTCCTTTCAGGAAAATAAGTAGAGACAACTTGACCCTAATGTTCATGACATGTGCAGGTTGCCTCTCTCTTCTATAATGTGGTCTAAGACTCTGTTTAATTAGCTGTTAGCCTAATTCTTCCCTTCCCTTCAGGGATGGGTTCTAGCTGGCATTACTGATGGTTTGCTCGTGGGGGTGCTTTGCGCAAATGCACAGTTCAGTAGAAATTGTTCTGCGCATGCGCAGAACTCAAAAACAAGATGGCGGTGGTGACTGCGGTGACCGGGGAACCGGTTTGGAGCCTGGGTCGCTGCTGGTTCTGTGACTCAGGCTGGCATACCACTACCAGTTCAGCCAAAGGGGCCAAACTGGTAGGAACCCACCTTGCTTCTCTTCTCTTCCCCTTCCCCTTCCCCTTCCTTCCCTCCTTCCTTCCTCCCTTTCAGTGGTGGGTTGCTAACCAGTTTACTACTGGTTTTCTCGTGTACGCGTGCTCGTGCATGCACACAATGCTTCTGCGCATGCACAGAAGTGTCCAGGTGGGTGAGCGGAGCCTCCCACCACCACCAGTACCGGTTCAGCAACCCACCTCTGATTCCTTTCTTCCTCCCTCCCTCCCTTCCTTCCCTTTCAAAAATAGATGCTTTCTCCATAGACCCTGGGTTGATATTCCTCCTCTTTCTATATTTTCTCATTACCCTCAATGGCTCACTCTGCACTAATATATTCCTCAAAAAACCCTGATTCTTCAGATTGGCTAAAAAATGGTTGCTCAAGCAGGAAAAGAACGGGAGTCTTACAATTCCCTGTCCCCAAATTGAAAACCCTTATAAAAAATCTTTCTTTCTATTTTCCTTTGTTCCTCTTCCTTTGTAAACTGGAACCCCAAAATCATTGTTTTTTTAAAAAACGTGTACGTGATTTTTGTTTTCAGAGTTGCACTCCATTATTTTGCATCCATAGCAAAAGACTATCATTGGGGGGAAAAAACCAGGCATCAGGTGAGGAGGATGGGGTTGGTTTTTCCAAATCTTAAACGATACCAATAAGCCAGTGGTTCCCAAACTTGGCAACTTTAAGACTTGTGGACTTCAACTCCCAGAATTCTCCAGCCAGCAGAGCTGGCTGGAGAATTCTGGGAGTTGAAGTCCACAAGTCTTAAAGTTGCCAAGTTTGGGAACCACTGCAATAAGCAAACCTTCTGAATTACACACACTTCACTCAATATAAATAAATAAATGGCTTCACTCAATATAAATTTTCCTTCCTGGGCTCCTTTGGAATGTTCAAACATCGCATTTTTGCTTAATTGGTCTGTTGGGAGTTTGAAATATAATAGAGCAGATCTAACTACTTTCACAAATATGAATGCAGTATAGTATGTCTTGAAAAGTGTATTTTGATCCTTTTTCTAATGCTAAATTGAAGTTGCAGGGTCAATTTGATTTTAGAAAATGGTTCTGTAGAAGATTAAGTTGGATGCTGTATTTTACTTCGGCGATTCATTAGGAATGGAAATAACGAGTTTCTGTCATTCCCTATGTTAAAGGACAGGTATCATTCGCCTGTACAGCATAGCTGAATCTGACAGTCCCTGGGAGAAATTCATATAGAGAATTTAATAAGTGACTTGGTGGATATAGATGAGACCTCAGTGGCTGCCCATAACTTCCAGGAAAACAATGACACATTTTTCACTGTTGAGATAATTGAAATTCCTTCCAAGAAGCCATAGATGTATCCAGAAGAGTGAGCCTGGGCACAAACCTAAGCACAGATACCAGGCCTGGAGCAAATTAATATATGTCTAAGCACAGCTGAACTGTTTTTATGTATGCATGTATGCATGCACATAGATAGGTAGGGAGGTATGTGTGCAGGCATACATGTATGTACCATATTTTTTAGAGCATAAGACACACTGGAGTATAAGACGCACCATAATTTTGAAGAGGTAAATAAAAAAAAAGTTTTGGCATTCTGCAGGCCTCCCAAACCCTCTGAATGCCTTGTTTTTTTGCAAAAAAAAAAATAAAAAAAAATAAGGGCATGTAGAGATTTGGGAGGCTTGTAGAATGCTCCTGGGGGCTGGGGGGGGGACAAAACCAAGCAAAAATGGTCCATTTTCGCCCTCCCCAGCCCCCAGCAGCACTTTGCAAGCCTCCCAAACCCTCTGCATGTCCATTTTTGCAAATGGGGTGGGGTTTCGGTAGGCCAAAAATGCTGTATTCAGTGTATAAGAGACATGAAGATTTTCACCCTTTTTTGGGGGGGAGGGGGAAAGGTGCGCCTTATAGTCCGAAAAATACGGTATGTATTGACCGGTATCATCTACCTACCTACCTACCTACCTACCTACCTACCTACCTACCTACCTACCTACCTACCTACCCACCCACCTACCTATTCCCCCCATCTTTTTTCCCTCCTTCCCTACTCTCATTAAATGTGATTCTGGGTGACTAATAAAAATTAAAAATAATACAATAACAAGAATGAAAATGTAAAACTGTCACCAAACAAACTTCATCCAACAAATATGAGCTCAACTGCTTTCCTGGCCTCTCTGCATGGAACATAGTCCAGTCTTGGACCAACCTAACTTTCAGTGATATGTTGCCCCAAAGGCCTGGGCTGTGACGGGAGAGGCATGATTCCTGCATTCCACTGTATGACAGCACCTGAAGCATGGCCCTCCTGCCAGACTTGATGGGATGGGTGGAAACAACTGGAGAAAGACAATCCCTCCAGCCTCAAATCATGAAGGGCTATTTATAGGCAATAACCAGCATCCTGAATTGCATCTGGGAGCATATTACAAGCCAGTGCTGTTTGCGAAACAAAGGTATAACCTGGTCATATTGAGTTAAGCTCATAATTGCTTCTGCTGCCACATGCTAGCTAGACCAATTGCAGCTTCTGAATGTCCTTCAAGTGTGGTTCCATTTATAGCATGTTACATTTGTCCATTTGGGAGTGACTAAAGCATGAGTGTGACCATGTATAGCATTGTTACACAATTTCCTGGTCAAGGGAAAGTCATAACTGCCACAAAACTCATGTGCAAAAGCCCTTCTGGCAATGGCTCTACTTGCTTCCCAAATAGAGTTATAGATCCATGAGAACCTGCCAGTTGCACACCAATTTTGTCTCTGGTAATGCAATCTCATTACAGATAGAAAATCACTGAATACAGGAGGTAGTAAAGCATCAAACCTCAGCCTTGCTATGGTTGAGCCAAAAGCCTTTCATCCCAATCCAAACCCTTATAGCCTCCAGGCATCAAAGAAAAACCTTTTCACATCAGTTGATTAACTTAAGATGGAGGTATACAACTGAGTACCATCAGCATATTGTACATTCCCAGTACATGCTGTCAAATGAACTTGCCCAATGGCCTCATGTAGATAGATGTTAAATAGGGATGGGGAGAATGTCAGGCCCCGAATCACCACACAGAAAAGGGTATATGGAGCTAATCTCTCCTTACCCCACAATACCAATTTCAGAGGAAGAAGGAGCTCTTAATCAGTGGAGCAGGGCCAGGAGGATACCATGATCAATGATACTGAAAGCAGTTGAGATATCAAAGAAGGTAAGGATGAAAGCATTATCCCAACCTCACTCTCTCCAAAGGTACCATATTTTTCAGAGTATAAGACGATCCAGAGTATAAGATGCACCTAGCTTTTGGGGAGGAAAACAAGGGGAAAAAATCTGCCTCTGCCTCCCAGCAATTTGCCTCCTTGCAACAAACAGCAAACAGTACAGAGAATATACACTTTGTAATGTTACATTTCAGACTATACTTGTACAGATGCTGTTAAAATTGATGTGGCTTTCTGGAAGTATAGTTATTCTCTGCTATTTAAAAGAAGATAACAATAGCACTGGGCCTCTTCGGATCGAGCATTTATTTTAAAAAGCTTCTTCATTTTTTTTAAGCAGTCTACAACAATAAGAAAGCAGTCTTTAAAAAATAAGTCTAATAATTTGAACATTCTATATTTATTTATTTATTTATTTATTTATTTATTTATTTATTTATTTATTTATTTATTTATTTATTTATTT